CCATTTCCTGCGTTCTGAGCACTGCATGTGACCAGTAAATTTGCCCTCATTGTATTCATTTCTCAAGCAAAAATAAGCCGAAATGATCTCAAAATGTAAACTATTGCTCGCGTATATTTTAACATACGATATAGGTGTGATACTCGTATCATACGCATATCATTATCAATTGAATACCGAAATGCGCGTATCATCTACGAACGCGTGTATCATACGAATACGCATATCATATGAACGCGCGTATGATATGAATACGCGTATCTTACGAATATATACGCATTACAAACAAATATTAGCGCGCTATAAAACACGATATATATACGCGCGTATCATAATTCACGTATTAATTTCAATACATGCAGGTATACTGTACATACGCGCACAAACACTTTAATAAAGCGAAGTTAATAGCGAACACTATACAGTAAAAACTCAAATTAAAATATAATGTGCATCTCTTATCATTCATAAGGCTTACCTGACTGGAAATGATTCGTTTTACTATCTGATTTTATTTCTACCTTGACGCATATAAATCCTTTAGCTTTACGACGGCTTTCATTTCGAAATGCGCACAACCATACTGTGGGTTCCCAATAGCATGTTGTTGATGAGCCAAACACAAATATCAGATATTCCATCGTTCTGGAGCAGTAGCCAATTTCATGCCACCGTAGCAAACTATAGCATTTGCCCCATTCCGATTGGTTTGCTACGTTTGACCGTAGCAAACCAATCAGAATGCCGTATATGCCAATTTTCGCTGCGGTCAGATTCGACCTTAATGAATCTGACCGTAGCGAAAATTGATCATATATGGGCAACACGCTACGGTGTATTTCTGAAGGATGATATTTTCTAAGCTATAGTCCATTGCGTAATGACCCGCAAACGGGCAATTACAACCGTATTTTCGGGCGGGAATTCTTAAAACAATTAACGTTACGTATTATAAATGTCATCAATTTGTCAAAATAAAATGTTTTAGAACATATAAAACTAAATAAAATAAAACCTTGAAATATAAACAAGGAAAGTAAACAAAATATTGCTAAATTATATTTTAGATTGATTTTATGATCCATGTTAGAACTGGCCTATGGAAAATCTGACCGTAGCATATGCTACAGTTGCAACGGTCTAAATCCGCCCCTGTGAATAGTTTGAATGCACCAATCACCTTTGTTGTTTGTGCAGCTAACCAATCATAAATAGAAAGGAAGTGACCAGACATGATCAAATACTTGGAATTGGCTCTTTCACAGGAAGTGTATGAATATTTCGAGGAACTTGATCAAATGAATTGGTCAGCCCGAGGTAATGTATTGAATCAATATTTGAGCAACACTTCAATTGGAACAACAGTAATGCTGACAAAACTGGAAATTATTTGAAATATGTATTAAGTGTGCAATACCATTGGCCAGAAAAAATCTCGGGTGTGCACTTGCCGTACTCTGCAGTCTGGCTTGATATTTCATATTTGCCTTGATATTTGCCTCGATAATAACTTGCAGCTTTTGTCACACTTTTAGTTTAAAAATTCACAACGTTAGGCATCTTACCTACCAATGTAACTTTCTTTTTCTTAGCAATATTAGTGTGGGGAGCTGACGGACTGAATGAACGTTTTTGACTTCTTTTTGATCTACTGGCGGCCATCTTGACTGCACGAAGTTCCAGAGGTCTGGGGCGGACTTAGCAACAATAAACAATATGGCGGACAGTTTTGTCGTTATTTTTGCAAAATTTTGACGTTTGTATAATTTTCATGGACCTCTAGTATACAAAAGTGGCCTATTGGCCTTAAACTATTTGAATGAGTGGACGAGACCTTCGAACGTTCGTTAATTTTCATAGAAATGCTATTGGTGCGTCAGGTAGGCTGTTTCTGTTTGAATAGTATCAGTGTGAAATTGCTGTGCTGAGTGGTTATATTACTACCTGAAAAAAACATAAACTGTAATTGCAAACTGTAATTTAATTTGTAATTTTAATAGCAAGAAAGCTGAATAGTGACGAATAAACCTAAAGCACGGTAAAAACCGTATACGTACTACAGTATAGCTAAACTTAAGTCTTAAGAGCATTCTCTACTCGTTAGCATAGCTTATTAAGTTAGAAATTCTGGCACAAACTTGAGCAAAAGAAATGTAGTATATCAACCACAATATTGACATAAATGCAGAAAGCATGTGTATATTATCTGTGAAGTTCAACTTCTTTATACACTGACTTGTGTATGCAGATCGTTGTGAAGGATAGTCTGTCAGACCTTCTGGACAATACTAACTATACGTTACACAGCAACTTCTCGAAAAATACTTTATTTTATAGCTATTGATTCAGCAAAATAGGAATATTTGCTTGTGAAGAGAAGCGTTAAAACAAAAGTTGGATCACTTCCTATTTTTTCGCTTTTGCGTGAGAAAATAGTGTTTATGCGTGTGAGCGTGAGAAATATGTCAAATGCGTGTGTCTCACGCAAAATGCGTGAGAGTTGGAAGGTCTGACTCTGTGTGTGTACACGTCTGTGTCACAGAATAAGAAGTTATACCAGAAGCGTAACTCTAGTCGTTTCCCTTATTGTTTGACGTCCACGAAAATTTTAACTCGCTCACGTCAGGCCACGCCATCCTGGCTAGTACAGCCGGAAGTTTTTATCAGGATTTGGTAGGTACAAAGTGCCGGTTGTACTAGCCAGGATGGCGTGATTGAGGACGTGATTGATGACGAATCGCTTGTAAAAACGCGGACAAATATTTGCTCCAGTTACGCTTCTGGTATAACTTCCTATTCTGTGTCTGTGTGTATGGGGCTTCACTGCTTCAGTGCAACCTCATACCCAGGCTCTTTCCACTACGCGCCTCGCTGGAGGAAAGACCCTGGTCCAGGCTGGTCACGTGTCTCCCAGATTTTGGGAGATAACAATTGGGACTTATAGGAGGTAAGGAAAGCAAATGTGGCATTCAAGTTCAAAACAATACAAGGAGTGTGAATAAAGCAATACAAAGGACTGTACCAGGAAAGAAGGTTTTATTGATATGTATTTTTCATAAAATACGTCCTAATGGTTATTGTAAGGGACGAAATTGTTAATAAAGCCTGGCTGGACGTTAAAACTCTTTAAAAAGTTAATAGACGATAGATGTTCTTCTCAAAGCTCACTCAACGACACAGTCTCGGGTTTAGTTCTACATATCAACAAGAAAAGGCAGAATCCTCAGAAAATTGCTGTCGAGTGTTGTATTCAGTAGAACATTTGTTTAACCAGAATCATGATTGGATATTAATTGATATTTGTGAGCGATTATAAAATAACCGCTGTTCGCGTAAAGTACTGTGTGGTCGATTTTCCACTTTTGTTTTAATAATTGAACATATTCAATGAAGAATAAATAAGTGCATTAATATACACAGTATTTAGCTCGATATTCTCTCTAATAAATCCTATATTTTGGGTATTTATAGGAGCGTATTTATTTGCAGTCGATTGTTTCCCCAGTGAAATATGATCAAAGGTTACATAAAATCGTATACTGATTACTGTGCTTTTGCTTTAGCTTTAGCTGGGTGAATGCTTTGTGTTCTGTTTTAGAATTTCTTTTAAAACTTTTAGCATATGTTACAACAGATATTAAGGCATACATAAGGCCCAATATATTTCTAAAGTTTGTACCTTAATACGCGCAGTCAAATTTAAGGTTACAGGACACCCTTTTTGGCGTTTTGCGGAAAATCGCTACTGCGCGCTCAATATCAGTCCGATTTTAATCAAATGTTCACCAAATGTTCGCCAGTGCATGCAAAATATGATAACGTTGTAAAATTAACAAACAATAAAATAATGTAAGAATTATTCAGGAAAATCTTAAATCGCGGTACCGTTACGCTTTTGAGTTGTGCTCCTGCTGGTTTTGAGTTATATTTATGAAAATATCATTTTTATAAAGTAAAATAGTTGTTCTAAAAAATCTGTTCGGATATTTTTGTTTATTTCGTCATTCCGCTGATATGGCGATTTCTTTGACGACTGCAATATATTTCTGAATTATTTGAGTGAATTTCTCTTTATTATTAAAATATCCAAAATTTAAAAAAAGCCGAACACAATTTTGAAACTGACGTCTTTAGCTATGTCCTGTGAAAATTTGAGAAATATTGGTTAAAACCCGCAGGAGAACAACTCGTTTGAAAATCAGTATTAAAATTGCCGTAAAATTCTTCGGGAGAATATTGAATTTGAATATTACATTTTCAATGTTTTTCTTATTGCAGCGAAATGTATTTTATTAAATAACTCTGCGAGTTTTCAACATTTTTCGTTCAAACTTGGTCAGATAGTAGAACTAGTCTAATGCTTTCATGGAAACCAATAAAAAAATTTAGGCAAAATTAACACTCAAAGGTGTTCTGTAACCTTAAATTAACGGAATTTATCTGACAAACACCTGGTCTGGATGTTTGTTTATATGAGGAGTCAAACGGCTGAGTCAAATTTGCAGCATTTTCACTTAAACGTCTTCGCTTCATATTTTCTTTCTTATATCAAAAGTATCATTATACATACAGTTTTAAAATAGCAACTTTATTTAGAATGTTAGGGTTTGCAATCCAAGTGATTATATACATTTTAAGACCCGACCAGGAACGACTGCGAAAAATGCAGCACAAGGTCCTCTGGTAGGAATCGAACCTACGGCCCTGCGATTCCGGTGCGGCGCTCTATAACCAACTGAGCCACAGAGGCCAGCTGTTGAGCTGTAACCGCAAGTTCACGTATATATAGGCAATCGGGTGTGCGGGCTGCGACAAGGTGGCCTCTGTGGCTCAGTTGGTTAGAGCACTGCAGCGGAATCGCAGGGCCGTAGGTTCGATTCCTACCAGAGGGCCTTGTGCTGCATTTTTCGCAGTCGTTCCTGGTCGGGTCTTAAAATGTATATAATCACTTGGATTGCAAACCCTAACATTCTAATATTAGTTCCACCAAGTGAAGTGCAAGAAACCACATCATTCAAGTCCAACTTTATTTACTCTTTATTGCCTTATATAGCTTATTTTTCCCTTTGCCCGCCGTTTGTCTTTTAATGTATGAACGCCAAGCTGAAACTCTTTATTAAAAACATGTGTGCATGAAGAATTAAAAGTACATTTCGAAATATTATAAATTTCAATATATATATATATATATATATATATATATATATATATATATATATATATATATATATATATATATATATATATATATATATATATATAATCGCCTGAGTATACTGTCTTATTGAAACACGAGGAAATAGACATACTATCGATACTCATGTGCGCACAATATAATATATTTTCTTACTGTTATTTCTATATGCATGTGTCGTGTTATCGAGCCGTTCCACTTAATAAAATTATTACAATTTACGGCAATTTACAATAGACTCGGCGCTGTTGGTTGCTAGGCAAATGTTCTTTGCTTGTTCTTGAGTATATTACAAATCCTGTCCTAGTAATTCTTTGCGGTTTTCCCAAGATTAAACTGAAAGACTCCAGTACGTATAGTCAGTATAGTATAGATCTTGCGTAGCGACGTCGCAAATACAATCCACAAAGAATACATATACAAAGACACCTCACCCATTGATTTTGCAACACAAGCTCTTGCTATTCGTTAAAATTACATGCATTTGTTAAAATACACACACTCTGAACTTTATCGAATTGATATCGGCAACTAGATCGGTAAAACAAACTTAGCCCCCCACCCTTGTGCAAAAATTTTGTTATCTCCCAAAATCTGGGAGACACGTGACCAGCCTGGACCAGGGTGCGCGTAGTGGAAAGAGCCTGGGTACGAGGTTGGCTTCAGTGATGCCACAGAATAGAAAATAGACCAGAAGCCTCACTATACACCTTTCCAGCCTCGTGCCCAGGCGCAATTAACTAAAAATAGGCACACTGACACCTTTCCCTAACATTTTCGTGTCCGCGATTTTTGCCTTGCGGATCACGAATTGCGCACGCTAGATGACGTGTGTGACACTTGCTGCGAACATTACGTCAGCGTTCGTCAGCGCCAATTCCTCAAATCAACGTTTTTTTCTTGAAATTCGAAAAACATGCTCAAAGTGTACGCTGCATATTCTGCAATTATTGTGCAAATATTTTACGCTTTTGTTTTTTACGTTGTGTATTCCTGTTGCGATGACTCATTATTTGGACCTGTGGCATTTAAAAACGGTTAAAACAGCTATCTTTATTACCTAGTGATGGCAATTGATGGCGTTGCTCGCGTTTGATGGCGTCGTGATTACACTTGCTGGCTCGCGCTTGCACATAAAAAACCTCGGACATAATTTTGGCTAAGCGAGGCTTCTGGTCTATTTTCTATTCTGTGGTGACGCAGTCATCAGAGCAAGCGCCTTTCACCTCTGAGTCAGTCAACAAGTCATGGGTTTTCTCTGGGTGCTCAGGTTAAATTCCTCCCACAGGGAAAGTTGACAGGGTGGGTTACTGATATAAACACAGTTAAGAAAATAATATCACAATTATTGTAAGGATAAAATAATCTAGGTAAGTATGTAATTAGGTAAGCGTATAATACTTGATGTAAAGCGCATTTGATCTTATCCACATGTAAATTTGCGCTATAGAAATGCTAATCATATTCATATGATTATGAACACAAACATAGATGGATTTTCTGATTTTGCTTGTGCTGGGTGAGGGGGGGCTGAAAATTCAAAGTGGGCGAGCGAGGTGGTGCGTAGCAAGCTGCAACAGGGGTCTGGGCACACAGTTGCTAGTGGGGAAATGGTTGCGGTTTGGTCTTCAAAATCCTTGTTTGAATCATATACTACTGTCATTTAATCGAATGAGCATTTAAATTTCTGAGGGTGTGGTGTAAATTGCTTTAGGTGGGGTGGGAAAACTTTCTGAGGGGTGCAAAATATTGGGGACAAAATATTAGGGGGGAGGGGGAGGTTTGGGGTTAGGCACACTCTGCACCCCCTCCATGAACACAACCTCAGAGCACATCAGATAACTCAACTAGATAAGCACCGGCAATGTAAGTAAGCCATATGAAAATATGAGTTTTTTGTTGATGGATTCAATGGTGGGCAAACAATTTTCATGCTCTGGACCAGTGAGATTTGGTGTGATACTGTGAGAAATTTGAAAACTAAGTAGAAAATTGTGATTGTTGCTTGAAAAGTAATCAGCTACTTCTTCTAAAGTTTTTAAAACTACCGTTTTAAAAAAGTAGTTAAAAACTACTTGCTATAATTGTAAATTGACGCTACAGTAGCGAACTACAACTACTTCGCTCCTACCAACCCTTGGTAAATTGTAGAAGGCAACTTGTATTTTATATGTTTTCTGTTTACTGCATTACTTTGTGAATATGTCATATTTGTAAACTAAGTCATAAATTGTGGATAACTAAGAGTTAAATAATATTATATTTATCTTAATTTTTCACATCGAGTTTCCATCTCTGGCATCGCAACACGTCATATAGTCGAATCAACCTTGTGCACAATTAAATCGAATAATAATTGGTCTCCCAACATCAAGCCTTCTTCCTGGCAGCAGGCTTTCCAGACCAAAAATTTCCTGCCAATTTTTTTTATGAATTTGAATTTTGATTGTAATTCAATAACAGCGTCGTATATTTAACAATTATTCGCCGAAGGCGAGGTGATTATCGGGGAATATTTGCCGAGACGAAGATTTGACCAATCAACATGTAGGATTTGTTATGTTCACTTGTGCAAAAATACTAAACTACCTTACTAAGTCATATACTACCTCAATATTAAGAAACAATATTTGAATTTTGTTTTCAGATTGTAAATCTGAATTTATATCAGTATTCATGCACTATTCAATAATAGTAGTACGCCCTTGTTTTCCACATGTATCATAATCATGAATCATGATAACAGACAGTCATATATAGCACTGCCACATGATACAAATTTTTATGTTATGATTGTTGTATGTATCAGCTCTAATTGTGATGTTTGTTACTTTAATGCTAATTTGAAATTTCTCGAGCTTCATTTTTGATATCTTGCTTTTCCTTAAAAAAACTTGTGAGATTAAAAAAACTTGTTTAAACTTGAGTAACTTCTCTTTGCATAAGCTTTAACGTGTATTCCTGTCAGCACATTGATCTATTTTCTTGTGTACTATTAATGAGTGCAAGCTTTTACAGTTTCACTATCATTGTTTGAAATGTACATGTTACCTGATTCTTTCGTAGATCCTTCATTGGTATCAAGGTTGGTTAATGGTCAGAATGTTGGCAGATACAAAGAAGTAGATTATGAGAAGCTGAAAGCAATTACCAAATTGAAAAATGCCGCCGGACACCAATCTCTACAGAAAATCAAATCAATTCATCAACTTAGCAAGGAAAAGAAAGACCTGAATACCTTACAGCAACATAAAACATGCTGGAAAAAAGAGTTAATAAGGTTGAATAGTTTATACAAAAGCAAACTTTACGAACTAGACATGGTCAGAGCTGGCCTACTTTGGGAACAAAGTTCAGTCAAGGAATTTTTTGTGGAAGCAGAGGAATATGAGGATTTTATGAAGGAGGATTTCTTAACGTTTTCCAACAACACAGTAAAACCTGTGTGGGATTTACAGGAGGATATCCATATGTGGTTAGAAGAAAACAAAGGTAAAAGTCTAATAGATAATCAGAGATAGACGTGTTTCGTAATGATGGAGGGAAAATTAAAGCTTTTTTCTACTATTACCTTTAGTAAATTACTAATAATTGTATTTCTCACTTTTGACCAAGTGTTAATTTGGATTGAAAGTCAACAATAAACCGAAAAGTGGAAATTATGATTGTACTTACCCCCAAGAGCAAGACAGGCAGTGCATGTCGTGCTGCTCCTGCAGTATAAAACAATAAAACATCATGATAATTATGTTTTGGTGTTAAATAATATCAGTTGGTATTTTTACCGGCCTAATTGCCTCGATTATCTCGCTGCGCGCACTCTATAACGCAGTCCTTCGTGTTCTTCAGGCAAGTACGATCATATATCTTTCCACCTTTAGGTTTACATGCATTGTTGATTACCTAGGTCTACTGATTCACTGACTGACCGATTGGTTGACCAACCAACAGACTAACTAGTGACTTTGGATATTGATGAAACTACCTGAAAAATACAAGCAGAACTTTCGACGTTTCGAGCGAAGGCTCTTCGTCGAGAAGTTAGTGGTGACTAATTTTCCTTTCCTTTTTATATTTATTTATTTATTTGTGAAAACCATATCCGTATCCGGCCTCCATACATGCAACCGTCTCCAAGTTGATTAAATGACCAACTACCTGACAGATCGACTGGCCAATCCAAAGCCTTGAAAGTTACCCACGCCCCATGGTGACCGCGGTGCACCTTGGGAAAACGTTTTTATCATTGTTACATTTGTTTTACAATTGTTGTAGGACAATCTGATCCCTCTGAAGTTTCGAGAGTTCTTCAGTCAGTGAAACTACAGCAAAGATACATCCTGGAACAGCTGGAAGAACAACAAGCTGAATTAGAAAATGACTTAGATGTAATAAGACTGCATCACGTGATTCATGATGATGAATATCCACATATCACCCCTGGTATTCCTGAAGAGGCGTCGTTATTAACTTGTCCTTATGACGATTTGAAATCAGTCGTTTTAAACGAATTTGAGTTGTTGGACAAGAGATATAAAACGCATCTTGATTATTTGAATGTTAAGTATGCTGACGTTATAGAGTAAGTGCGGCTATCACTATTTCTGATAATTTACACTTTCCTCGCTTGGCACCCTGGGAAACTATTTTGCAGTAATCCAAACTGCTCGTTGCAGGAGTTTAGGGGCATCTTCCTGCAAGTGTGGCGGCTAACAGGGGAAACACACCTGATTAAAAAAGACGGGTTTCCATGTAATTCATATTAGAAGACGGATTTCCATGTAATTCATATTAGAAGACGGATTTCCATCTGAGACAATATCTGAGACGGGATACTCGTCTTAGACAAGAAACTCGTCCAGATATAAAAGAAACTCGTTCAGTTATATCAGACGAATAAACCAAGACGGGTTTCAGTTAATAAGGTAAGAAAAGAAAGACTGCGTTGAGGGTTTCCGAATTTTTCATGTTTATCCGTCCGATGATTTTCGTGATCAGATTGAAATCCGTCGGACGAGTTTCCCGTCTTAGACGGAAATCCGTCTTCCGGCTAGAATCAGCAATCTTTATAGGAGATACAACTACCTGAAAAATATATAACGAATTTCGACGTTTCGAGCAAAGGCTCTTCGTTCCGAACCGTCGACGTTCTTTTTATATTTTTCAGGTAGTTCACTAATAGCGTAGTTGTATATCTCCTATAAAGATTGCTGTTTGTACTCTTGCTGCCTATACACTGACATAATATATACTGACATAATACAGTAGGTAAGATCTCACCTCAGGCTAGAAGGCGGTGTCACTCGTGTGTAGTAAGATGTTCCATATTGCATGTGAACGCTTCATCCCAGCTGTTCAGGATGGACTCTTTGCCGATTTTCATTTATATTGGTGTCGGACGGTTTTATTAATTATTTATAATGTTTTATTTGTACTCTAAGGAATAAAGACGAAGGCTGGCCAAAAGAAGATCACCTTCGATTTCAATACATTCTGGATCAGTATGCAGCTGATATGCCAAACGGAAGAAGTTTATATGTAGATAGGATGATGAGAGAGATGCCACATTTATCACGACATGTTATTGTAAGCTTTCATTGCTAAATACACTAAATTTATGTGGTTTATCTTTAAATCAACCAGATAAAAGGTTTCTAGTACAATTATTGAAAAATCCTTTTTATTAACTCTAACAGTATCCCTTACCCGTGAACTGTACTTGTAAAAAACATTTGAATTCCTTTTACACAAAATTCCTTGATGTCAAACATTTACCTTCAAAATATTTTAGACTTTTAGACTAATTTCACTATACGAATGTTAAAGCTTTCTAAGAATATAGACAGGGACATGATTCTAGTCCAGTCTTGATTATAAAAATAATTATATTTCGTTGATTAGTTCTGGCAATACAAATGTCGAACGAAGAAGAAAAAACTACAATTTTGTTTGACTTGGTTTAATATTCATGATATTTTCAATGTATAATTATGTAGGTTGAGCACGAGAGATGGTGGTTTTCATATAAATCGTATCAAAGTCAACAGGCAGCAGTCTACACTGCCTGGGAGAAAGACCGCCGAGATTTGTTATTGAAAGTCAAAGTCACCTTTGCTGACGCTTGGACTGAATTTGAAAATGAAAAGAAACGAGAGGAAAATCGTAAACAACAAGTGGGAATATGCAGAAAGTTACATGAAAGGGTAAATGCAATTTTGTTATGGAAGGACAGGGGTATTCAATTTTATGTTTCGATTTTATGTTGAACTATATAGAGAGAACTCTCTGCATATCTTCGTATGAAGCTTGATTTTCCAATTTTCATTATCTCTCCACAGACAAAATTTTCTGCATTCCATCTCCTGAACTGTAACTTCACAGTTTGATGAAATCCCCAGTATCTGATTATGACATAAAACGTATAGTCTACAATAGAAGACTATAAAATCTTTATTTCCTGTCACATATACGAACTGCTTAGTACTGTATGTCCAAAGTACTAACATTTATTCTCCACCATAGGTTGCAGCATTCCAACAACAGAAACTTGAAGCCTTTCGACTCCGGCAAGAAATAGATGAGAAAGTGAGGGAACAAGAAAGCGAAAAACTAAAAATTGAAGAGGAAAAAGAAAAGAAAAAAAGAGAGAAGATCCAAGCTAAGGTGAATATTTAACATTTTACTTATCTTTGGTCTGGCTTGGGAATCACAAGAGACGAATTTTACAATCGTGCACACTTGCAATTTAAATGTTCATCCGAGATCAATTTTTTTTTGTGCGGTTGCGTTTTTCCCCAATTCCAATTTTGGAACGGCCACTTTCTTCCACCATCGATCCAGAAGCGATCTGAAGGAAAAATAATTGAAGACTGATCGTGCATGAGTAGTTGAGTACTGATCGAATAGTCGAGGTTTGAACCCTTTTGACAAGTGATGAAGTTGAGGCCAATTATGTAATGCATTCGGTTCCTGTGTAGCTAGGGAGTTCCAGGAGCATGATACTTCGAAGAGGCCATTCCTGTATTTTCAAAGTGAAATTATTGCAAAACACAACAACAAAAAAATGTGTCGTTAGAAGGAAAGTACTTGTTCCATGAATTTTAAGTTTATTTTCCTCGTCTCTCTCCTTTCTTTTCCCTTCTCCATCTTGGCTTCGCCCTTTTCCTACCCTTCCTTCCCCCCAACCCTTGAGGGCTAATCTTTGAATGATAACCACGTACATCTCTGACTTTCGGGAAGAAAGGGCATGTTGACAATAGTATAAGTGCAAGCTTTGAATCCATCGTGTAAAAAAGGCGGAAGTTAATCACTCCAAAAATGTTCTACGCTGATGTGTAATTTAACAGGGAATTTTGTTTGGTAGGTTTTCCGCCGTATTTTACCAAATTGATTCAAATTTGCAATTATCCTATTTTCAATATTCTCTTTCCGTATAAGATATTGTTTTCGACCGATGAAAATTTGCATCAATGTAAATTGCAACTGTCCATGACATGAAACTCTTCTATTTCCTTTCGGAAAGTGAGTTGTAAAACCAATTTCAAAAAAAGAAATTGAATAGCGTAATTTTCGTCTCGAAAACAGGTTTCCCAATATAGAAGCCGGTGTCACAGGAGATTCGCCCCCCCAGGAGATTCGCCCCCCCTCTCAAAAGGGGGGCGATATTCCTAGGATATTCGCCCCCCCGGGGCGAATCTCCTAGGAATATCGCCCCCCTGGGGGGCGAATCTCCTAGGACTATCGCCCCCCTTTAGGAATTTTGCCCCCCCCCCATATAATTTTTGAATTTTTGATCTAAAAACCAAACGATTGCAAGTTGAAAAGATTTATTGTGTGATTTATTTATTTATTACAAGGAGACAAAATCACATACACATTTTAGGCTTCTTAGCAGCTGGTGGTGTGCGCAGTCTGCATAACCGAGTAATTTGAGGTACTTAGACTAGTGTCATATTCTACACATCTAAAGTGGAACCTTCACAGAGATCGCATAAAATCATGTTGTCGTATTCTTCTGGCAGTTTACATTCACATAACATATTATAAAAACAATCGCTTGCAAATTTTATCAATACGAGTGTTAACAATAGCCGCCACAGTAATCACTTGCTAACAATAAACTATAGGATTAGTAAAAAATCCATGGAATTTGTTGGGAAGCGTATTGACTATTGTCCGTTGAATCGTCAACTTTCTGTGTCAGTGATGTAATCTTGATTCTTCACTTCCGCAAAGAAAATTGCATTGTATATGTGGTGTGGTTTATTGAAATAATTTCATGATACTTTGATTTTATTAGTGCATGCCTTAAACATTTGAGAATGTAACTCTGCAAAACTAAAAGCTTTCTTGTCTTTTTTGCTTCTTTGAAACGTATATTATTGGATTATTGCCTATTGCCAAGTTCTACCCTTCGCTTCTGAGTTTACAAACTATATTGAAATAATGCAAGTAAAAAATAGTGACAAACCATACATTTTCCGATAACGACAAAACGTGGATGCAAAACAATACCAATAATTACAATAACCCCCAC